TTTTTAACTAAAAAGCTAAAATGTGAAAAATGGAACCGAAACCAAGGTAAACATGTTAAGTTTTAAAGACTATTTTCAGATGTTGTAAAGGGAAAATTATTGTTCCTTGTCATTAAATCCTAGAGGACACATTTTTCCTTCTGAGTCATGATGGTATTTTAATTAGATTACATTTTATTGGAGGCTTTTGTCTTTCTTTCTTTTTTTAACAATCTGTATAAAAAAAAATACGGCCCTTTTTACGTATGCACGGAGGAAAAATCATTTTTTTGTCATTGTCTTTGGCAACTCATTCAATCCAATCCAAAACCAGGAGTAGTTTATTTATGTCTTACCAACATAAGACATAATGTATATCTAAAGTGCATTATGTTACAATATATATATATATATAGATAGACAGATAGATAGATAGAAAGTCAGCAGCACCAAGATAAAAGTTCATGGAAATAAATACATTATTCAACACAATAAATTATGGTAAATGTGACAACAAGTACAAAATTTCCCTCCCCAGTATTCACAATGTTCAAATGTGCAGCTTTGGAGAACATCTGCGGCCAAGGTTTTATTTTGAATCATTTACAATATTTACAGATAATAAATACTTTCCATATGTTCACAATTACAGAACAGTTGAGTAAGTTTTCCAAAAAAATCTTAGCGGAGGATGTCAACGCCTCCTGTGAAGAAAAGAAAAAAAGGGAGAGAATTATTTTCCCATACAAATAACTGGACACGTTAATAGTCTCATCACAAAAGTTCTCTGTCTCTAGGAAGAGTTGATGGACAACATACAATCGTTCTAAGGATTTTGGACCAACTAATCTCTCATGTACATGGCTTGCCAGTACAATGAAATTAATAATGCAAAGTGTGATGGGAAATATCTTCCAAGAAGCTGTGAGTATACACACACAATAGACACAGACACAGATGATTAGGGGACTAGAGGCTAAAACCTATGAAGAACGGTTGTGGGAACTGGGTATGTCTAGTCTAATGAAGAGAAGGAGTAGGGGCAGCATGATAGCGGTCTTCCAATGTTTGAGGGCCTGCCACAAAGAAGGGGGTGGGGTCAACCTATTCTCCTAAGCACCTGAAGGCAAGACAAGAAGCAAATCATGGAGACTCATCAAGGAGAGAAGCAACCTGGAACTAAGGAGAAACTTCCTGACAGTTAGAACAATTAACCAGTGGAACAGTTTGCCTTCAGAAGTTGTGGGTGCTCCATCACTGGAGGCTTTTAAGAGACGTTTGGCCAGAATGATATAGGTTGGACTAGAAGACCTCCAAGGTATCTTCCAACTCTGCTATTCTATTCTATTCTGTTCTGTTCTGTTCTATTCTATTCTATTCTATTCTATTCTATTCTATTCTATTCTATTCTATTCTATTCTATTCTATTCTATTCTATTCTAGTCTTTCAGTACATGTCCTTTGATTGCAACAGGGAAGAAGGTCTGGGTTTATCCTCAGACTGTCCAGGTATAAAAAGCAATAGGTGAAAGCTTTGCAGAGTGAGTTCCAATCAGGATAACCATGATAGCTATTAAGTAGTGGTCTTTATAGCATCATGATGTCTCCATCATCAGAGGTTTTCAAACCAAGCGTGGATAGCTGTTTGGGATGATTTGAGGGTCCCTGCCTTAGGCAAGAAGCAATTGGTCTAGAACAGGGGTCTTCAAACTTGGCTTTTTTATGACTCATGGACTTCAACTCCCAGAATTCCTCAGTCAGCGTGCCTGGCTGAGGAAGTCTGGGAGTTGAAGTCCATGAGTCATAAAAGGGCCGAGTTGGAAGACCCCTGGTCTAGAAGAAGTAGAACATAGAATAATGGAGTTGGAAGGGACCTTAGAGATCTTCTAGTCCAACCCCCTGCCCAAGCAAGAGACTCTATGCCATTCCAGACAGTGATAGTCCAGTCTCTTCTTGAAAGCCTTCAGTGATGGAGCACCCACACCTTCTGAAGGCAAGCTATTCCATTGGTTGATTGGTTGGTTGCTCTAACCATTAAGAAATTCCTCCTTAGTTCTAGGTTGCTTCTCTCCTTGGTTAGTTTCCATCCATTGTTTCTTGTCCTGCCTTTTGGTGCTTTGGAAAATAAATTGACCCCCCCTCATCCTTGTAAGAGCCCCTCAAATATTGGAACCAGCTCTACATTTCCATGACTCTTAGTGGGTATTTTTTAGAGATGCATGTTCTAAAAGATAAAACACTTCCACATCTGGAAGTCCATCTTCCAGGCCACTTTAGCAGCCTTATTCCCAAGGCTAGTGGATCAATGCATAGTTTGCAAATGGAGGAATGGAGAAGACCCTCCCACTCTGACCGTGGGAGAGAACTAAGCAACTGGTTGAATGAGACCTTCTGAAGGATGTGGATGAGATATGGAGAACACTAAAGTTATATCAGTGTTTTTATAACACTTGATATCTTTGCTAATCAAAATGATCTACTAGCCTGAGGTCTAGGTTTTCACACCTAATTGTAGCTTGAGGGACCGTGTTATCCTGCCAAGCGCACCCAGGACTTTGACACACTCCTCCAAAAATATCTCTTATCTAGGAATCCATGGGAAGTTGGATGAAAGAACAGATTGCAAACTTTCAGGTGTTTTGTAATCCCCTTGCTTTTATCTTGTTTTATCTCCAGTGATGTAAACGGAACTGGGGTTTAATTTGGCCCACGCCAGGGGGATTCCTAAATTAAACTTACAGTTTACTCTCCTGACAGTACTAGCATTTTTGGCAAATATATGATACAAGTAAATGCATTTGGCCTATGTAACAAGGGCGTATTAAGAGGCATTCCAGATAGCTGTGAGATTAATGAAATTCCCTTTCTGCAGCAACTTTCACAAACATCTCAAGACCCTCTTCTCTGGTTTGGAATTTACTAGTTTAGTATGAACTGACATGTAGTTTGCCCCAGAAATCGTGGGTGCTCCATCACTGGAGATTTTTAAAAAGAGGCTAGACAGTTACTTGTCTGAGATGGTATAGGTTCTCCTGCTTGAGCAGGGGGCTGGAGTAGAAGACCTCCAAGGTCCCTTCCAGTTCTATTCTATTCTATTCTATTCTATTCTATTCTATTCTATTCTATTCTATTCTATTCTATTCTAATTTTCCATTCCATATTCTATTCTATTCTATTCTATTCTATTCTATTCTATTCTATTCTATTCTATTCTATTCTATTCTATTCTATTCTATTCTATTCTATTCTATTCTATTCTATTCTATTCTAATTTTCTATTCTATTCTATTCTATTCTATTCTATTCTATTCTAAATTCTCTTCTGTTCTGTTCTGTTCTATTCTATTCTATATTCTATATTCTATATTCTATATTCTATATTCTATATTCTATATTCTATATTCTATATTCTATATTCTATATTCTATATTCTATATTCTATATTCTATATTCTATTCATGAAACTTATATACATCCCGACTTCTGGAAAACAGTGAACCTAGCTTCCAAATCAGCAATCTAAAGCAAGATGCAGAGGTATAAAACAGAGAGGCAAGCAGGGTGACATAAAGAGACAGACTAGCTACTGAGCACAAAACGGAGAAGGTGTCTCCTTACAAATGTTCTCCTAAATGTTGTGTCCCCAGTGCAGAAACAGGCTCCCCTGCCACGTCATGAGAACAACATCAGATGCTTCGAAAGTGGGAGAGCTGCAATTCCATTGGGCAGAAAGGGAAACAGAGGCTGTCATACTTTGGTCACGATGTGAGAGTTGACTCATGCCAAAAAGTCAATCATGCCAGGCATGATCAATGGGAAAAGGAGAAGGGGCTGCCCTGGTGCCCGCTGGCTGGACAGTGTAAAGGATGACCATGAGGGATCTGAAGGAGGCAGTGCAAGAGAGAGGGGCATGGAGAGTGCTGGTCAATAGAGTGGCCGAGAGTCGGACAGGACTGAATGGCTGACGAGGAAAAAGGGAATGGCTTTGGGTTACTCCTTTTCCTTAATTACCTGTCTGAAATATCTCTTAGAAATCCTTGAAGATAGATAGATAGATAGATAGATAGATAGATAGATAGATAGATAGATAGATAGATAGATAGGTAGGTAGGTAGGTAGATAGGTAGATCAATCGATCGATCAATCAATTGATCGATGGATGGATGGATAGATCGATCGATCGATCGATCGGTAGGTAGGTAGGTAGGTAGGTAGGCAGGCAGGCAGGCAGGCAGACACAGGCAGAGATAGATGATGGATAGATCGATCGATTGATCGATGGATGGATGGATGGATGGATAGATAATAGATAGATAGATAGATAGATAGATAGGTAGGTAGGTAGGTAGGTAGGTAGGTAGGTAGGCAGACAGGCAGGCAGGCAGGCAGGCAGGCAGGCAGACACAGAGATAGATGATGGATAGATAGATAGATAGATAGATAGATAGATAGATAGATAGATGATGGATAGATGGATGGATGGATGGATAGACAGATAGATAGATAGGTAGGTAGGTAGGTAGGTAGGTAGGCAGGCAGGCAGACAGGCAGG